TATTTTGAAGTAAAATGAGATTATAAAATTATTTCATGATGAAAGGGTAATGAAGTTGTAATCCGACCAATTATAGATATTTTTCAACTGTATTATATCATGTTCTATTGCAGTGAATTAGGAAATTGATGGCAAAACAGGTCCAGTAGAGATTTGGCTCACAATTAACACAGTTGGAGTCCCTTCCAGTGAGTTTTGGATTTAGGGGCCTTGTTTCGGTCGACTGATCCTCACCATTAGCCGACCGAAACCCCAGGTTCGGCCAACCGAACCCCCTCCACCAGCCGACTGACAAGCCTACAGTAAAAGTCCCGAGAGCATGTTGATCTCAAAATCGTTTCAGCTGGCCGACCCTGTAGGTCAGCCGACTGAACTTGCCCCTGTCAGTCGGCTGATGAAGGCCCATTAGCCGGCTTATCATCCCCTTTTGACCTGCAATGTTTGACCATCATTGTAAGATTGTGTTCTAGGTTATTTTGAACCCCGGATTGACCCTTATGACGATTATGGACATAAGAGGTGGAAGTATTACCTAGTTGACCTCGGGTTCGGGTAAGGACCCGGTTAACTGTTCGGACCCACAGGTTCGGGTTGTTACATTTTAACTCTCTTTTACAATTTGGATAAATGTAATAACTAGTGTGAAGTATACATTACACATTTTACCATTTGTATATGCAGTCATGGATGATATACAGGGTGACGGGCCACCTTGTGCATGCAGAATGGGTTGAATGAATCTTTATACGACTGGAACTTCAAAGAATTATGGATGTTCATTCTATAGATGTCCAGCTTTTGGGGGGGGTGTAATACCTCTAATTTTAAAAGGATGGTCTCGGTATTTATTTATTTGTTTTAATTGTATTTTTTTATTATTTAATTAATTATTTGACTAATTACTTATGTGTTTAATTGAATTGGGTATTACTTGATTATTTGATTATGTGTCTATGTATTATTTGTATTTGTCTATGTGTTAATTGTTTAATTAGATTATGTGCTTAAATGGTGCTTTGATTAATTGTAAATTAAATATTTTTTTTTCTTTTATTATTTTTTTTATTTTTCTTTTATGGTTATGGTTAGTAGTAATGAGCCAATCAATTGGGTCCCATGGACTACTTGGATAGGAGGTTGGATGTGTATGAATTATTACCCATGGATAATGTATGTGTATATATAGATATATATTATATACATATATAAAAAGGAAAGTAATTTATTAATTATTTTTATGGTAACTTGGGTAGTAATATTTAATCTGATGTATATGTTTTATATTTAAATAATAAAAATATACATAGATTTGATAGTTTTAAGTTACTTTATAATATTATGATAACTTAAGTATTATTGGATAATCCATTAATAAATAATGGAATGTGTATAATTTATTTATTTAATAAACATATACATAAATTATATACGTAACATATTTTACTTACCTTTTTAATATATATATAAAAAAGAAAGTATTTTATTAATTACTTTTATGGTAATTTGGGTAGTAATATTTAATCTGATGTATATGTTTATTTAAATAATAAAAATATACATAGATTTGATACGTGTTATGTTTTAAGTTACTTTATAATATTATGGTAACTTAAATATTATTGGATAATCCATTAATAAATAATGGAATGTGTATAATTTATTTATTTAATAAATATATACATAAATTATATACGTAACATATTTTGGTTACCTTTTTAATATTTTTATTATTATTATTTTTTTTTAGTTGACTTGGATTGGGAGAAGGGTTAGGGTTATTTTATTTAACCTATAAATTTATAGCTATAGGTTGTAAAAGGGGGTTAAAAATATTCACGTGATATATACTGGAGAGATAATGTTAGAGAAGGAAGGAGGAAAAGGAATGAATGAGGGGAAAAACTCTGTAGAGAGAATATCAAGGAAGAAGAAGTTTAACTTTTGATCCGAAAGTTTAAGGCAAGTTCTTCTTCTATCTCTTTCCCTTTGATTCATGTTTCTGTACATGCCTAGGAAATTTCAGGATTTATTAAACACATAAAATTAAATAATTATGCATGTTTAATTGGGTTAGAACATAGGTTTTATGAAATTGGTTCATATCTGTTCTTGTGTTATGATTTGATAAAATGCATGATTTTAATTTGATTTCTTATGTGAATTTTTACATGTTTAAATTATGTATTTTTCATATTTGTGGAATGATGGAACGTAGAAACATGCCTAGGATTCCTGAACATTAAATAGAGACTGGGTTTGGGTTTTAATAAATTTAAATAGACTCAATCATAATGATGCTTGCTATTTGAATGTTTTAAACAAATGAATGGATTTAATCTTTTAAAATATTTTAGCAATTGAGATTAAATGTGTAGGATGAATTGGATATAAGAATCCTTATTTAACAGTATAATAAAATATCATCATATATAAGATTCAGTTTGTGTAGGACATATGATATAGGAAGTTTAAAGAAATAATAAGCCATTCCTTTTATATGTGATAACTTGATATCATATTTATCATAGTTATTTATGGAATGTTTGATGTATTTCCTTAATTGTTACATCAATTGTTGGATTGTGTGGTTTAATGCACCGGTATGGGACGGTGACATTCTAGGGATGGATTAACTTATCAGTTAAGTCCTACCTATTTTATATAAGGGAATGGACTAACTAAAATGTTAAGTCCTACTTATATTTAAGTCAAGTCAGCTGAATAAGTTGAATGACTTATGGAGGATTAATTTATTATATATGGGAATGGATTAATTAAAATGTTAAGTCATACTTATATTCAAGTCAGGTCAGCTGAACAAGTTGAATGACTTATGGAGGATTAATTTATACTGGATAGGATGGTTACTAGATTATATATATATAAGTATGGTGCCATGATATGAGCTTGAGTCTCAGGATCAATGGTTAGGGCGCGTATATCGCCAGGGATGTGTAGCTAGATATAGTGTAGTTGTGTACCCTGGTAAGTCTAGGTACTCATGCCCACTATATGTGCGTTTTGCATGTTTCCTACTATTCAGGTTGAGACAACCCTATAGTCTAGTGAGGTTCCTTTAGTGTGTGTATATATATATATACGGACTACTAGTTACTGTTTGATTGATTAGGATGTATACGTGTATCGGATCTCTGCTTGGACTGTAATAGAGTAGAACTTGTTTGTGGGCCTGACCCACCATTATTTTTCAGGTGTTCGTCACGAGTAGAGGTTGTTCGTGCTGAGCGGGGATCAGTCTACTTCATTCTTCCGATGCTACATAGGAGTTCCTTTATGATTCAGTTTCCTATTTTAGATTACTGTCATTTGTTTAGTTTGGATTTTCTAGGGGTCCACAGAGTATGGATTCCCGAGTTGTATTTTGGAGGATCAGTTGTATTAGAAGAGTTTATTAATTAATTGAAATATATTATGAGGTTTATTATTGGATTATCATTTTAGTTTTTTGTCAGCATTTTATTTTTTCTTCTTTATTCTTTTGTACTCTGTGTTCGTTTATTATCAATTTGTTTTTGATATCCCCGGGTATTCGGGTGTGGGCTTGGCCAACCCGCATTTGAGAATCCGGGGGTATCACGGGGGGTATACAATCCTTTGCATTAATAATTTTTTATACGTACATGTTATTGTCACAGTGGCATTATAATAATATACAAGTCTTTGATATTTTAGTCACATGCCCGTTCATTTATATGATTGGATGATATGTACCAACGTTTGCAAATGGGTGGTCATGTGGATTAAGAGTTGGATGATGTAATTGCTGTTATGCAAGCTAAACAAAATAGGCAAAACTACATTATCTATGGTGGCTGTTGTTGTCTTACTATAATTATATTATTTGTGTTATTGCTCATGTTGTTGTTGTTGGTTATTGTGATTGTTGATAAATGATGTAATATATTAGTTCAATTTTACTTAGATACTTTTATTGTGTCTGTTCACAAGTGTTGACAAGTGATGTAATATTTATGAAACTCATGTCTGTAATATCTTCAAACTCATGTAATATGTTGAAATTTTATTTCAGTTCGATATTGAAACAATGTCTTTTACAATTGTCAAAACAATATCCAGCATTCATAGGTTTTACAATTTAAAATATATTTTATTAGTTTTTATAGATTAATTAAAAAATATTGTAAACTAAAACTTAATAAACTAAAATAAACTATAAAAATAAAAAAATATAAAGTTATATCAATTGTATAACAAAATTATACAATAATAAAAATTTACTTTATATATAATAAAGTTATAAATAATGTATTGATGAAAACATTATTTAAAAACACTAATTACCAAACATATTTCATGTTTTTGTTTCAGTGATTTTGATAACACTTTCACTCTGTCAAACATGTTTTATTCTTATATTTCTTAAAACGAAATACCTTGCCAAACATGTTTTACCATGTTTCTATTCCAAAATTTTCGTTGTAAATTTTCGGTCGCCAAACATATTTTGTTCTCATCTCAAAATATTACATTACAAAACACTTATTCTATTCTAGGCTAAAACAAAATACCCAAAAATACAATGCATATCAAACGGCCCTTAGTTTGTTGAAAACAATTTTCAAATTATTATTATTTTTTAAACTGAATATTGCTTATCGTGGGTGGGCTCTAGTGTGAATTTATATTTGAAAAATTAAAAATTAAAATATTATACAAAAATTTGTTTAATGGACTATTTAAGAAAATTAAATTTTTAAATATTTACTTAAAAAATACATATTATTAAAAAACTATCTTTCTTGACCTTTTGATTTTAGCTTTACAAATTAGGTTTAATTTTTTTTTTTTCCTTCCTAAATTAGGTTTGATTGTTTTCTCCGTCTAAACACATTCTTGCATATATATATATATATATTATAGTTTTGTCAAAATTAATTATTATTTTTATTTTTTCTTACAATTTTGAGAATTGTTTTTTAGTTACAAATCAAACATTTGTTATATATATTTTATTTTTTATTTGAAAAGTGGCCATGGCCTATGGGAAATGGGCGGCGCGGCGATGCTGCAGTGTTGCTCGTGCTTGCTGTTTTATTGTCTCTCTCTACTTTCTCTCTCTATCTCTGTCTCTCCCTAACAATTAGCGGCTCTCCCAATTCGGGGGCGAATCTGTCGCTGTAGACTTCCCGCCAAACCAATGCAGCTCTCAAATTATCCGAACATCATCAAACGGAAATCGTTAATGCACATTTGGTTTTCAATTTCCATCCCAAAAAAGAAAAAAAAAAAAAAAGGGAGAGAGAAAATATTATTTTGGGTGATAAGGGAAAGCGTTGCAGAGAGCAACATTAGGGTTTGTTGCCTCTCATTTCGTTCATCCGTTTTTATTCATTATGATGGCGACCCATCTTCATCCTGATCATCTTGGAGTATTTTGATAATTCTGAGGATTAAAAAGAGGGATATATATATATATATATATATATATATATATATATTTTCTTAGATATGATATGATCTGAAGATGGACCCTCATTCTAATTTTAAAGGGCTATGGATTCTCTTCTCTGTAATTGTCCTCATTACCTTGGTCCACTCCAAAACTGATCCATCTGATGGTATTCTTTCTCTCTACATATATATCTATTATCTCAATATCGAACTAGTTTGTTTTTTGAATTGTGATACTTGTGACATTGCTTTCTTTCTCAATTATGGTATCTATTGTTTGTCTATTTTCATTGAGAAATTTGAAAATTTCAGAATTTTACATTCTTATGACGTCTCATGGTTTCGAAAGTAAAGAAATGATGATGACACATTCATTAGTGGCTAATGCAACTATACTCTACATTTATAATCCAACTTTTTGTAACTTCTTTCGGTTTATTGGAAAAAAACTATCGCGAAGCTTACAAAATGTCATTGTTCTTTGGAACATCAAGTAATTTTTAGATGATGGAGGTAATAGTAAGTTATTTTTTGAATGCAATAAAGAAGATGCGCACACACTGCATTGCGTGTATACACATATATATAGGACTTTCACAGGCAGGAGAATATATGTGTTTGTCAATATCAGCATAAGAAACTGATCTGTTGAATTAAGCATCAAGCGTTGATGTTTTACAAAATTTTCAAGCTTATGTAATTATGATCCTCAGTATTGTTTTACTAAATGAACCTTTTGTTAGTTTTCATTGTTTTTAATTTCATTTTGCTTACATCCAAAGCCTAACTACACAAGGTCCAAATAATCGTAGTGTGGAATTTCCAATTTATCCGTTCTCTTGTTTGTATGCTTTGCATCAATTCTCGTGGCCGACTCTGAATAGTAGGGACAGGGCTTTATTCACTAGAGTATATTATTGTTGTGTTGATAATGCCAGCTTTTGACATGATTCAGTGTACCCAAATGAGAACATTTTTGAGTATTTCAAAAAATGTGTAGCTTGTTTTTGCTATCATATATGTAAAACATTGATTATCAGTTATTCCATCACCCAATGGTTTATTTTAAGAAAGAAAAAAGAAACCGGTACCTATTTCGTTTTGTATGTTCATGAGGAACTCGTTTTTTAATCTTAAAGTACGGTACATGAACTTGTTCTCTCTATGAAAGCAATGGTTGGTTATTGTATGACCAACCTGTTGTTTCATTTTGACATTCTGATGTTTGGTAATTGTTTCTGTAGCTTCTGCTCTCAATGTCATGTATAGTAGCTTGAATTCTCCTTCAAAACTAAATGGATGGAAATCAAGTGGAGGTGACCCTTGCAGCGAGTCATGGAAAGGAATCAAATGCTCAGGCTCATCTGTAACTGAAATGTATTGATCTTGTTTTTACATGTCTATTTTGTAAATTATACAGCATGTCCAACGCTTCCACTTCATAAAGAAAGATAAAATTTTCAGATTTTTCGATTTTGTTTATTTCTGTAGAACCCTTTTTGCAGTAAATTATCTGGCCTTGGACTCACTGGATCAATGGGCTACCAGCTTGCAAACTTGAAATCTGTATCCTACTTGTAAGGCCCAGCTTTTGAACACAGGAAATTAGGTGTTCTTTTTGTTTTTTTGTTTTCCTAGTTGTGTTCTTTTTGTTTGTAATTGTTATTTTTTATTATTTTTGTGAAGGAACTTTACCCCTAACTGATGAATTTGTTTTTCATATTACAGTGATTTGAGCAAAAACAAATTGAAGGGTGATATACCATATCAACTTCCTCCTAATGCTTCTCACATGTAAGTTTGCAGAACAACATTTTTCAATTACCGATAGAGGAAATAACAAACCACTAGTTTATCATATTTACATATATAATATAAGACGTATAATATATCTATGACACCATAAATATTGATAGTCTATTTTCCGATAACATTACCTTTTTCGTCGTACTTATGTTTCAAGTGATGGTCACTTTATGTCATTGTATTTTGTACTACACGCTTATTCAATAGAAAGGGTTGTTGCTTTGTGCAATGGTAAAAGCCCAGGATGTGAAACCTGAGAATGCAGGTTCAAAAGGTTAGCTCTATACCCAATCCAACCCTGTGAGTCCCAACAACCCACATTAGCAAGACCTAATGGCTATTTGAAATGTTAAATGTTGTGATCCATCATCATTATGAGGGTACCGTACGTAAATTTTGCACCTTATTAGCCCCTTATTGTTGCTAAAATAATCTTTTATCACCAGATCTTAGATAATGATCTTAAATATGTGTCATGAAATGAGCTTGCTGTGCAGAGATCTTTCTGGGAATGGTTTCACTGGTGGTATGCCTTTTTCAATATCTCTGATGAAAGGCCTTAAGTATCTGTAAGTGGCGTGTGTTTGTCTGTTGGCTTCTTAACAGTTGGTTTCACTTTTATGAATAATGTTTTTGGTGGTTGCAGAAATCTTGGCCATAATCAGATCAATGGACAGATGAGTGATGTGTTTGGACAGCTTTCTAAACTCTCGGAGCTGTAAGCTTAAATAACATGGAAGCAAGTTTTTTATTTTTCCCCTCCCCCCATATCCCCTTATCTGTTGCAAACAAAGTTATGGATCAACTGAAACTTTGGAATTGATTGAAGCTGGATTTTCAGTTTACTAATGAAGCATCATATATCATGTTCATAACTTAAGTTTGATCTAGTTCTGGCATGTTCTTTCCTTTTCCCCTCCCACCCCTAGTGGCTCCCTCTTGTACTATTCCCTGAAACTTTAGGTTGATCACTATCGCTGGATGTATAGGGGTGCGACTTGGTTGGGTTGAGGATTAGTTTGTCTTGACCCAGCGTATGAAAAACCAAAGTCAACCCTGAAGGGAGGACCTCACCATAGTTTCTGATACATCAGAAAATGTTGAGTAGGTGATGGGGAACGGAGTGTGATTTGCGCACATGAGATGCACATGTTTCAATATTACTTTTGGAGAAGAGGAAAAGAGAAATATAATTAGGAATTTTTGTAATTTAGGGCTACATTATTATGTTCCTAGTTATTCTTGAAATGCTTTGTTTTAGGGTTATTTTTGTATTTTCATATATTAGGGCTTGCTTAATATTTTGCCCATAAAAGGCTTCTTTGTAAATGTACAATTCAGTTTTGGAGATTATTGATTATTGTTTTCTTTGAGTTCTCTCTCTGTGTTCTTTTCTTCTCCCATTTATGTTCTTGCTTTTCTCACCCATTCCATCTATCCTACCTATCTATTCACTCTGTTCTCACCCCCCTCGTCTGTCTCCTCATCCTTTTCTTTTAGTCTATCTCTTCTTCTGTTTTCTCATCCCTTTCTTTCTTTCTGGTTACTATTTGTGCTATGACAGTAGGGCTAGACCTGGAGGAGTACGCTGAGTCTCTACTAGACCTAGGGGAGTAACTAGGTCTTTTCTAAAAACCTAACTGTCAATAACAATAATTCAAATTTTAATACTCTTAACTAAATGGCTGAATGCGTCAAACCCAAATAGCAATAATTAGATCAAATGTAAAAATTAAATTAATGATAAAAAGAAACAAAGATTTACGTGAAAAACCCCATAAGGGAAAAGAAACGCAAGACAACCCTAGGTATTAGATTGTCTTCCTGCAGAACCACCTTTGTTACTTCAGATCCAAACATATAGCAGGTATTCTACTTTGAACTAAGTTCTGTTAACCAACTCAATCATCTCTTCTTTTGTGATTCACTTTGCTGGTTGTTCAATCAAACTGATCTGATTTGTGCGGTCTTGGTGTTGAACTCCTTGCTGCTTTATGTATGTAAATTCAACACTCTGAATTGTAACTCACCATCTACTGAGTTTTCTAGATGATAAAAAGAAATATAATTGCGGTCTGATTGCCAATATGCTCTCACTATACGCATGTAGGTGTTTATGCTACGTTTGGTGTGCAGGAATAGAGTGGAATGCAAGTGGGAATGGAATGAGAATGAGAATGGAATGGTCATTCTCATTCTATTGTTTGGTCGCTAATATGAAATGTGTAGGATTGGAATGATAATAACCATTTTAGTATTTGGTTTGACCAATTTAAAATTTAGAATGGAATGAATTAAAATTGAATTCTCCAAAATACCCCTATTAGTGACAATTAACAAAATAACATTCTTCTATAATTTGTTTAAAAGAAATGGTGGTGGCGCTGGATGGTGGTAGAGGTGGAAAGCGGTAGTGGTGGATGTGGTGGTGTTGGAAGGCGGCTATGGTGGCAATGGTGGAAGGCGACGGCGGTGGTGGCGGACGGTAGTGTTGTTGGTGGAAGGTGGTGGAGGAATGCGTATGGTTGTGGTGGTGATGGAAGGTAGTGGTGGTGATGGTGGTGGTGGTGGAAGGAGGTGGAGGCGGCGGCAATGTGGCAGTCGTGGTGGAAGGTGACGGTGGTGGAATGCCGTGGTGGTGACGGCGGTGGCAGTGGTGGCGGTAATGATGACGGTGGCGGCGGCAATGACGATGGTGGAAGGCAATGGAGGTTGCGGTGGTCGAAGATGGTAGTGGTGGAAGGCAGTGGAGGCGGCTGCGATGTCGTGGTTGAAGGCAGCAACAATGATGGCAGTGGCAGTGACGGTGGTGAAAGGTAATAGAGGCAGCGGTGGCGGCGGTGGTGGTGGAAGGCAGTGGCGGTGATGGTGGTGGAAGGCAGTGGCGGTGGCAGCGGCGGCGACGGTGGTGGAAGGCAGTGGCGGCGGTGGTGGTGGAGGTTTTTGGACTTAGAACATGGGGTTTTTTTGGGAAATTGATTTTTAAAAAAAATTTATTTGGGAATGAAATAGCCATTCCATAGGTTTAGTTGTGGAATGGATTTTCATTCCCAGGAATGAATTTTCATTCTAATGGAATGGCCATTCCCACTTTAAATTGCATACTAAATAAAGGAATGGTTGGAATGGACATTTCATTCTTGCACACCAAACGCAACATAATTAGGGTTTTATAGTTGGAAATAAAATAAGAAAAAAATTCCCATAGGGTTCAATGAACTTAGAAAACTCAACAAAAATCACTGAAATTCATTAAAAACCCATATTTATTAGATTATGGTGTAAAGAGTTGCGTATTGGTAGATTTGAGATCCTATATGAACGGGATAACTGATTCCATTACCTAATGCCCGATATGGGATCACCCGTCCATGTTAGTGGCCACGGGCATGTCTTCAATCTATGGTTCCAATATCCTGCATGGGCAGGAGTAACACTTGATAATGGCATTTTACATCCAGACTGTTATGAATAAATATATTTTGAGTTGCTTATTATTAGTTTAGAAAGTGTTTTCCTTGCATTGCCACATTGGTCTATGTTACGAATAAATGCACATGTAGTTTCACATAATCTAAGAAAGAAGAGTGTTTTTTGCACTACTACATTGTCTACAATAGTATAGTACCCTTGGATGTTAAGTACAGAACCATACAAAAAGTTTTCATGCCTGATATAGAAACCTAAACATCCTCCCTCTTTTCAGTCATTTCTTTTTGCATATTGTTTTTGGAAGGTGCTGCTTTACATTTTGTTCATTCTACTATTTCAATTTCAATACGAGAGAGTTGTTTAAATAAATCATCTCTCTTAAAGAATACAATCTATTATATTATTTTGCCCAACTTTCTGTCTTGTAAAGCACAGTTGGTCTAATAGCAGTTTTATAGAACTTCCCCTTAAATCTTAATGAAATACTCCATAATACAATATACTGGATGCACTCCTTCATTTAATCCATGCCTTGATTCTATGCTTAACATCATCCTCAATTTATCCTTCATTATGAATAATTGAGTCTAAACATAGGAAATGTTGACTTTTTTGTACCTCTTAATCCTTGAGTTTTACTACCTCCGTATTTGTATTTCTAGATTTACTAAAATCACACTCCTTCTAATAATTTTTATTCCTACATATTAAACCTTTTTTATTCTAGAGCTTCACTCCAAACCTCCAATTTGTCACTTGCGCCTTTTCTAGTTTCATCAATTGAAACAATATCATTATCATAGAACGTACACCCTGGATCTCATCCTGAATGTGTTTTGTTAGTTCATCCATAACTAGGGCAAAAGATATGGACTTAGTGCTGACGCTTGATATAAATCTACAATAATTGGAAATTCAATTGATTCCCCCACAGGCTTTTTTGCTGTCGTAACATATCCATCATGCATGTCCTTTATTGTGTAAATGTATCGTTTAGCGACTCTTATCTTTTCTATAATTCTCTATATTAGATCTATAGATACTCTATCATAGGCTTTCTTTAAATCAATAAAAACCATCACTAATGCTTTCTATTGGTTACATGTTAAGCAATCAATACCCATCAAGACACTGGCTTTTACTTAGTGTTTTGGACTACGAATCATTAGGGTTCAAATATCACGCAACAGCCTGGAGAGGTCCCCTGATTATGTGACATGAAAAATTTCTCGCTGTGCTGAAAGTTCACCTTTACGTAATGGCTATAGAAACTGTATTCCAGAAACTATTTTCCAGATCTCTTCAGCTTATAGTCTCTTCTAAGATTCTCAAACTCATTGGATCTACTGATTTGGAAGTTAGAAACTACTAGACCTAAAAGTGTACACTGAGATAGAACTAGAGAGTCCATCAGCTCCATTACCCAATGTATATTTAGGGCTTTAGTTTTTTCTTTTTCTTTTTCTTAATTTTTTTCCTCACTTTGTTAGCATGAATATTTTATGCATATACAATTAAATCTTTGTTTGGGAAGATATTTAGAATCATCAAGACCCAAATGCCATTCTATTTGCCGGTGAAGTGACTAGAGTTGTGCATCATTGAGGTGTATTATATTTTACAATTTTTTTAATATATATATTTTAAGATTTATGACCTGCTAAGAAGCACGGATATGGACTCATGACACGGATACGACACGGAAAATCCTAAAAAATTAAGACAAAGATATGGCAAATAATAAACCTATTTTGTATATATATGCAATAATATATTATAACTAATATTAATTCTCATCAAATTAAGAATAAAAAATACCATATCATAAACTAATGAGCTATAATAACAATTTTAAGTTAAGAAGAGAACAAAGAAGAGAGAATGGGCTGATGTATAATTTATAAATTCCTTTTACAAAATTTGTTGTAATCTAAATTAATAGCTAAATAAAATATTGCAATTGTATAAAGAACTGACCGAAAGAAAAAAGAAAAAAGAAAAAGTAAAGAAAGAAAAAGAGAACTGGCTGAAGTAGAATTTTTAAATCCCTTCTAAAATTATGGTGTTGTTGAAAAAAGGAAAAACAATTGTACTCTGTGAGAGAGAGAGAAAGAGAGAGGGAGACAGAGAGAGAGAGATAGAGAGAGAGAGAGAGAGAATCAGTCAGAGAAAGAAAAAAATAATAACATAAAGAAAATACGGTGGTGTTGAAATTTTTTTTTTGCTCTGACACGCGCATCTGCATGTCTGTCACATGTTTGCCTTGCGTCCATCTTGTATCCGGGGCATGTCCAAAGAGACAAATATTCAGACCTTTTTTTGCATGTCCAACACGGACAATTTGATCTTTTAGACTTTTGTTTTTGCTTCCTAGATTACTTGTGCATTTTTTATTATTACTCAAATGTGTTGTTCTTTACAAATTGAGGTACTTTGTTCTTAAAACCAATATAAGTTCTAAAGAGTAAGAATATCATCTTTTTAGGTGTCATAGCATTGACAGAAAATAATTACAAGCATTCAAAAATGATAAATTGTGAACAAAATATGCGTATACAGCTGCAATAATAGATTTCCTTTGCACTTTGAATTGTACTTTTTTAAAAAGTAAAGTATATTAGAAAAGCGCTCAACGGGGATTTTGAGTTAACCTTTGATACCGTCACATCATTGTTACTGTACTTTACATAACTTGATACCACAATTTAAAACAATGACCTAGACATTTTATAAATAAATAAGAAAGAGCGACAAGTAAGCAAGTTGAGAGAGATGTAGCCTCATGAGGGTAATCAGTGGATGGGTAGAGCTGTAGTCACTTTGGAGATTTGGAGACTGTGGCCAAGTAAGGAGGTAGGACTTTGTTGATACTGACATGTCTTGCTAAGATTAGATGTTTGTGTAAGTTGTGAAATGCAATTGAATAAATCAACTCAGCACAATGAGATTACAATAAGAACAAAATAAATATAGAAATAAAAACTCTGAGAATAACGAGAAATTGTTTTTATGTATTGTGAGTTTATTTATTTTGATAAGTCTGTATTGTTAGTTTATTAGAAAAATAGAAATTGAGAATATAACGTTTGGTGATCTCATTGGAATTTTCTGAAGTGCTCTCTCTCCCCTGTTTTCACTAACTTGTTATTTTACGTAAGAGATATCTATTAGCAAGAAGGTTTGAATTTCTGTCTAACTCATGAGATGCCATCCAGGGATCTCTCCTTCAACTCACTGTCAGGGGATTTGCCTCAGAGTTTTAAGAACCTTTCAAGTCTCACCTCATTGTAAGTAGTAATTGCATTTGCTTTTAGAACCTATTCAGTTCATAGTTGCTAACTCTGCTTTTTGTCTTTGCACAGGCATTTGCAAAACAACAAATTTACTGGTTCAATAAATGCCCTTGCCAGCCTTCCTCTAGATGATTTGTAAGTAGCTCAACAAGTCAAATTATATCAACTTTTATGATGGTTATGTTATAGGTCATAAATGTAAACAATTCTTCTGCAAACTTCTCTCCTTTTTTCTTTTTCAAGTCAACCTTTTCTCTTCTTTTTCAACTTCAGGAAGACTTGGTTTTTGATTTTCCTTCTACATAATTTTCTATGAAAGCGCAATGGAAAATCAATATATAATTTTTATTTACATAATAAGAACTTTTATTGTTTTTCCTGGTTTATGTAATACTAAACTCATCTTGTTGTCTGGTCCTTGTGAAATTGAGGCAATTGCTTTACTTATGGTCAAGTGGAGTTTGCTATAATTTTAACCACTAAGGCTTTAGCTCAAGTGTCAGTTCCTTCTTGTTATGAATTAATCCCTTTCGTACCAGATCTGATACCACTTATTAAGAATTAATCTGCTCAAGATCACACACAACAAATATGAAATGGTAACGAAGGAAAAATAAGATGGAAATCACACACACAACAACGTCCATGGGTGATGAATGACTAACTTTAATTAAAAGAAAAGAAAAGATTACAACACTCAACGCATTACCAAGAGGTATTCCACACACACACTACAAGAAGACACACTCTTCTAAAATGAATACTCTCACTCTTGGCCCTCAATAATTTCCTCCTCTTTCTCTATCTTTTATCCACTTTCTTCACACTTCTTCACACACTGCTTGGCTTCAAACACCTATATTTATAGGTGAGCATTTGCCGTCTTAAGATTTTTTCTCTTTTACTTTTCTTTACCTTTACGTTTTCTTGATTAAGTGCACTGCCACTCTTCATTAATGCACAGCCGACACATTGACCAAACATTTCTGTTTGACTACAACATACACCTCACTATTGTATACACATTCAATGCATATACACTTCATGCACAACTGTTTTTTCTTCATTCATTGGACTGAGTTCATCACCAGCACGCATTATTCTGCCAATAATTTTAATGAAATTTGAATAATATTAAAATAAAAAAGAAATATTTGTGTTGGATTGGCACTACATAATCTACATAGATACAAACAAAAAAGTGTAGATGGAAGAATAAATAAGGAAAAAATAGAAAAAAATATTGGGACAATAAATTATAAATCTCCACTTTTGGTGAAAATTCTCCACCTTGACTCAAGATCTCCATTTTTTTTTCTTTTTAACTTGCGAACTTGGGAATCAATCTCATATCACTGAACCGTAACCGGAATATCTTCTTTTCTGGAATGAAGGTTTGTGATGTTGTGATTGCCAAGACTTCATCCTTCCCATGTCGCTCGTGATCTTCCACCACTCTAGTAGATCTTGAAATAGGCTTACACTTTGTCTTTGCAACAGCTCCACCCATCAAATTATTCCCCAATGTATGCTTAGAGAGCTGTGTTCTTTAAATCTCATTGGAATCCACTGTCCCCGTCAAAAATATCAAATGAGAATTGTAGAATGATTTATCTGTTAAAATGTCATAAGCTCTAACCAACAAAAATTTTCAAAGCTAGAATTGCTCTAGAGTGGAAAAGTTAATTGGGAAGGGGGAACCAGTGTCAGTGTATGTAAACCTACTAACCCTTCATGTTTTTTTATTACATTTCTTTTTATTGTTTTCAATCACGATTATATGTTCCCATTTTGTTTTAAGGGAGTATGACACAAGGCATAGTTGTGCTTAATGAACTACTTTGCTCATGGAGTTCATTACTTTTCACATTTCTCCAACCCCCTTTTTAATATTTTAAGTAATCTTAAACTTCTACTTGCACGTGCTGAAGTTATTGGTGAAGAATCTGGAGAATCTTACTAGATAAATTTATTGAAATTTTGGCAGGAATGTTGCAAATAACAAATTTACAGGCTGGGTTCCTGATGGGCTAAAGGACATAAAAAAACTTGAGTGAGTTTTGGTTCGATTGTTTAGAATGCTATGCTGCTTAATTTCTTTCCTCACTTTACGATTCTCATTGCTCAAGGACTGGAGGAAATTCTTGGTCATCTGGGCCAGCTCCCCCTTCTCCCCCTGGTCACAAAAGTAAATCTCGTGCTAATAAGCAATCGGAAGAAGATGGTGAGAAAAAGTCTGGTCTGAGCACAGCAGCCATTGTTGGAATAGTTTTGGCTGTTCTTTTGGCAGTTATAATCTTGATTGCTCTATTCTCGAGAAAATCTTCTCCTCCTTCACATTTCCTTGATGAAGAGAGGCTTAGCCAGCGCAAGCCATTTACGTCACTTTCATTCGACGACTTATCTGATGACAAACGTAATGAAATGCACCGGAAATTCAAAGGTATTTCTTCACTTTGATATTTCCTTTTTCTTTTTTCCATTTTTTCTGTGTGTTGCAGAAGTCCTTGTCACTGATTAACATGAATAATGATATAGGGTGGCTGTATTATACTCACACAATTAGTTGAGTGACATGTCTCCATTAAAGGTTTTCTCAGGAAGGAAGGCTATTAACATGGATTTAGGTTGCAAATACAGGCATGCAACATATGGTTAAACTCTTATAATGACGTTCATGCTGCTGTGGCAAATAGTTGGGACAAGGTTTTTTTGAAATGATTTCATGAGTTGTGGTTTGTTAGTTATTGATGTTAATAGTTTTTCCTTTTTATTTATTTTTCCTTATTAGAATCATAACAGAAAAAGGTCAAGGTTCTGGTATGAGAATACTTGTGTGTGTCTGTTGGGGGTGGGGGGCTATGAATCATCAATGAACTACTTAAATGTAAAATTCTTTTTAGTGATTTATTAGTAATTTTTCTAAACATGTACTCAACTCAACAAAGCATTTTCATAATTATTTGGGGTTGGCTACATGAATCCATTTTGCCATTCTGTACCTTGCTAAAGAGATGTCTGATGAATTTTTGCCCATGTCTGTGTGAATTTTTTTGAAGCATTTCCCATAAAGTCCAGAATCCTGCACTGAATAGCATCTGACTCTGCCTATGCATGCCCCAAGAAGTGGACCATTGTTTATATATGAAAGTATTAACACATTTTGGGGCTGTTTCATCTCCTTCGGACATTGTTGCTTTGCAGTATTGGTTATAACACAAATTGCTAACACATATCCGATGAATGTCTGTCCATATCCTTTTTATTTTTATTTTTTTATAAGTGAATGTCAGTCCATATCCTTGGCAACCTTTCTGTCATATGATGTTTCTTGTTATTTTTGTTTATGCATTTAAGGTTGATTTATTGCTTGGAAATGCCATATCTGTTTCCTTTTTGATGTTGTCTTTTATTATTTAACCTTTTTTTTGTTCTTGTTTCTTTTTACCTTTTAATATACTTCTTTTTCTGCTTAGTGTAAGCTTCACACTGCAATTCAACTGATGATTTGCTTTTCCGGTGACAGAACTTAAGTCGTTGGAATCGTCTTCTTCAATTCATCATAAGCTGTCGTTCAATAATAATGACTTTGTTAACCGAATGAATATCAAGAGGAGCGGTTCTGTTCGTGTTACATGTTATTCTTTGGCAGATTTGCTGACTGCCACTGGTAACTTTGCAACGGGTCGCCTTCTTGGTGAAGGATCCATTGGACGAGTGTATAGGGCCAAAGATGCTGATGGGAAGGTATGCTTTATTTGCTTAATTTTTACTTTAACCTATTATCACTTGAAAAATTGTGTATTTTCCATTATGATGAACTTTGGCATGGTGATGTGTTGATGCCAGGCTTAGGAGCATCATTCATTTTGAAAGCTTCCAGAGGTTTTACGAGTTTTCTTATCATTTGATGCTTCGTCCATGACTTTTTCAAGTGTTGTATTATTTTTCTTTTTAATAAAGTAACATCTTTCATGCTTCTAGAGATTAGACAGTTTTTCCCCTCATAGTTTTAGTTTGAGGCTTTTCTTTTTCCCAATGGCCTTAATCATAACTGAGGGTCATTAGTGGCATTGGGGCTAATCTCTAATCCTGAATGATAGAGAATGGAGACCTACCACACACCGCGGGGTACTCTCCATCTATATATTTGCACTCGAGGTGTAGAATGGGTACTCTCCATCTATATATTTGCAATTCAGTTTGGGCCTAACATGTGGAATGGGTACTGTCCATCTAGATATTTAAGTCTTACTTCTGGAGCTGCAATCAAGGGTAAATTAATTTCGAAACCAATCACTGAAGGTTCCATGAGAAATTATTTAGCAATATCTCATGAGTTGGGGGCTAAGCATTATCAAAAGTTTGTCTTCCAACTTGCTTACCTACTCATTCTCTCTGTAGTTCAAAAGATCTCTTCATTGGATGCAAAGAATGAAGAATTTAAGTACCTTTAGCATAAAGGACAAGGTTTGTGCTCCAAGTGAAAGAGGATTAACCTGATATTTGGCATCACTGATGAAAAAAGCTCTTTCGGCAAAATGGTATTAAAAACTTGGCACCAGGCGTAATGAATAAGCACACTGGTTGAGCAGTAAAATTAATTGTTGACAATGGAGTCATGCCTAAACCTAAACATAACTGTTCGGTTTACTGGCCTGTTCTCTAGGGTTTAAAATTAAACTTTTTTTGTTTGAATGTTGCATATAGATAGGTAATCATTGTTCATTACAATTTATTTATATTTTATTTCATTGATCGTGCATGTGTGGGTTTGTATACATTGCTTCACACCCTAAATAATATCTTTGTAGATCCATTGTGGATGTCATTTACTTAACAATACAATTAATAGAAGATCTCACAAGAGAGGAAAAAAAAAAAAGAGAGCAAAAAAAAAAAAAAAAAAAGCTTTAAACTTGATTTTTGTAGGCTGAAGAAGCATATGATAGAGAATTCAAGGGGCATAACTTGGTAGGCCGTTAAGGAAAACTACTTCATATTGATTTTCTTAAACTTATTCCGGATAGATTAATGACACCGGGACCAGAGTTTTACATCAAAGATTAGTGCTAATATCACTTATAGGTACATATAAGGAAATCCTAGCATTTAAAAGGAACTTGAAAAAAAGTACTTCAAATTTTATTTTATTTTTTAAAAAAGTCAAACTTTAGAGTACTTTAGAACATATGTAATGTAAATTCAGCAAAGATACTATAAACGACAATATAATAATGACTATTCCTGATAAAGGTATTACTCAAAATAAGCATTTTAGGATCAATAACACAATAGGAGATAGAGATAAATGATGATGTAACAAGGACGGAAACAGATTTAGCAAAATAGAGATGAACTATTGGTATCCGGTGTGATAAGAGAATATTAAATGATTGAAAGGGAAATTCTAAATGACAATCATTAAGCCAGGTATCCTACATAGAGCATAATATATGGCTTTGAAAAAGTACCAAGAATAACACACCCATGTTATTGAAGTGAGATTGCTGAGATAGATGCTAGGAATAATTGGAGGAGACATGTTGATAATAATCATGTTAGGAAGAAATTATGTGTTGCACCTATTAGTGATAAAATGAAAGAAAGTAGGCTTAGATGGTATGGACATATACAACATGTAATGGTATATGCACCAAAAAGAAAAGGAAGCTTATCTCAAATAGAATATAAATAAGCAAAAATACTAATAAAAACTAAAATGGGATGAAGAATAAAATAATAATAATAATAATGGCCTTAAGCAATTAAATATAATAGGAAACATAATTTTTAATAGAAAAGAGTGGAAGAAAGTTTTGTGGCTGACGCCATTTCATTGACGATGAGCAGGCTGTACCTTTTTGAAGGTTCCAATTCAAGTAAAACTTGTCAGCTAGCAACTTCATTTTCAGTTATCTATTTTTTTTTTTTTTTCATCTACAAGTTATGCTTTTAACTGCTTCCTTTTGTTAAGTGATCATTGTTGTTAAAGATGAAGAAATGTCACGGATGGAGCTTTGTAGTACTGTGTATCATGATGTACTTTAGCAATAGATATTGTCAGAGAAATCATTTAGGCTTAGTTGGGTTCATATAGGTTATAATTCTGCTTTCCAATCTGTATATACTCTGTTGGGTTCGGTTTGTGTTTTATTTAGCTTTAATATATTCTTACAGTTGTCATATCACCATTTTTATGATCCAACGAAGTTATGTTTCGTCCATGAGCTTTGTCGTATTGTGTATCATGATGCACTTTAGCAATAGATATTGTCAGAGAAATCATTTAGGCTTAGTTGGGTTCATATAGGTTATAATTCTGCTTTCTAGTCTGTATATACTCTATTGGGTTCGGTTTGTATTTTATTTAGCTTTATTATATTCTTATAGTTGTCATATCACCATTTTTATGATCCAACGAAGTTATGTTTCATTTTGATGTGTATGGCTAACATTTTTTCAGCTTTGTCTCAATGTCTGATTTTGGTCTTCATGTGCTTAGGGCCTGTTTACTAACGGTTTTACTTTTTGATTTTACTGTCAATTTCTAAAAATGTGAAGTAAAAGTGAAAATTATGTTTATTAATGTAATTTTACTTTTCGCCTTTTAGAAAGTACTTTCAGATTTAATGAAGGAAGGAGACAGTGAGGATTTGTTAGTTTCTCTACTTTCTACACTGTAGACAGAAAATACTTCCTGTTACAGTAGCATTCATTCACCCATTCTCACCCTACCATCACCCATTCTCACCCAACCATCACCCATCATCCTCTCCCTCTCTATCATCATCATCTCATCCCACCCACCGGCTAGACACCAGAAAACAGCACCACCGGACTTTCTATCAGTACTGCTCTCTCTCTATCTGGACGAAGACAAGACAATGCCGACGAATTTCAGACCACCGGAATCAGAGTCTTTATCTTTCTCTAAACCTCTATAACTTGGAGTCTCTCTCTTTCTCTCAACCACTGTAACTTGGAGTCTTTGAATCGCTGTCCATTGTGTTTGCAATAGTTTGTTGGGGCTTTGCTTTAATTTGGGTTTTTTGTTAGGTCTTTTCTCTCTCTAAAACTCACTCACTTTCATATCTCTCTCTGTAATCACTATAATCAAACCCAGATTAAACTTTCTTTTTAGAGAGGGAGACCCAATTTGGGCATCGGAGAGGGAGACCCAAATTCGCATCCACAAGCAATTTTGGTTTGCACCTATAAAGCAATTTTGGTTCGCACCTATATACAGATCCGCAAGCAATTTTGGTTCGCATCCACAAGCAATTTTGGTTCACTAACAGGAGATACAGAGATGGTTCGCACCTATATACAGATGTATATATATATATATATTTATATATATAGATATATAGATGTTTGATGGGTTTGTTGGTTTTCTTTTCTTTGGCTGTTGGTATGTTCTTTAACAGCATTTTCTTTGGCTGTTGGTATGGTCTTTGGTGAGATGTGGAGAGAAGAATATTTGCAGAGAATGAGATGGGTTTTGGTGAGCAATTTTTGCAAAATGAAAATCATAATTACTGAACACGATTTCTAATTTTTTACTTTCAAAATATATATATATATATATATATATATATATATATATATATATTTGATAAGTTTTTTACTTTCAAAATGTTGAAAGCATAAAATATTATTGAACATGATTGTACTTGATATTTCAACTTCAGAAATGAAAAGTATGATTTTACTTTTGGAGAAAGTAAAAATAAGAAAGTGAAAGCGTTAGTGAACAGGCCCCTAGAGTATGTGTAAATTACTTTACTCAGTAGTGCTCTCAACTATTTTTGTTGCATTTAAATTTTTGGTTGCTGCTGTTATTTTGATTCATATGCTCCTGGCAGTGTATACTGGCATAAACGAAGTGCAAATTAGTCAGTGCTTTTGTGGCTTGTATATATTCTAATTAGATTTGTACCATTTGTCAGGTCTTAGCAGTGAAGAAGATAGACTCATCATTTTTCCAAGGTGGGCAAGGGGCAGATTTTACAAATATTGTTACAAACATCTCCAAGCTTCACCATCCGAACATATCTCAACTTGTTGGGTATTGTTCAGAACAAGGACATAACATGCTAGTCTATGAGTATTTCAGGAATGGTTCACTTCATGAATTTCTACACCTGACGGATGACTTTAGCAAACCACTTACCTGGAACACCAGAGTAAGAATTGCTCTAGGCACGGCCCGGGCTGTTGAGTAAGTTAAATTTATGCTAATATTACCAGATCATTTCTTATGCCTTGCTAAGGTGGTTTATGAGAATTGAGAAATAATTTATGTATTATCTTGGACTCAGATATAATCTTCCCAATTCTTGGGATTTCGGGGCTCAGGTGAATTGTTGAGCATTTTATTTGATTTTCTTGTAAATTAGCATATTACTAATGTAACAATAACTTAAGGATGTTTTGTTGCACTAAAAAATATCGTAACAGATCTTTTAAGGATGCTGTACTAAATGGAATATATGATCTGTTGATCTGCTCTCCTTTATAGTTATTGGACATGCATGTTGAATACATGTTGTTAGAGGATTTAAAAATTATAGTTACACCCTTTCTAACAGCACTAGCTATTAGAGTAGATGGTGGTTAGCATGGTATCTGAGCCAAAGGTCTCAAATTCAAACCTCACCGCCACCGTGATAATTAAAATTGAAAAATACGCGTTGGACTAAAAGAAGGCCACACTTGGGGGGCGTGTTGGAGAATTTAAAAATTAGGCCATATTTGCAGGGGCTCGCTCAGGGACGGACCCAGAACATTAGGTGAGGGGGGGCAAGAATGAATTTTTTAAATAATTTCAGGGGGGGCAATAGCAATATTTTATTGGTATATAATGGAAAAAGGAAAAAATAGCAAGGTACTTTAGTAAAAAATAAATAATAATTGCCCCCCCGGCATGCATGTAGGTCCATTCCTGGGCGTGCTACACCCTCTCTAACAGCTTAAGCTTTTAGAGTGATGGTGGTTAACACATGTCAAATAGTAGGAGTTGGTATTCCACTGATGTCCATGTCGTGTTGTGTCCAAGATACGCAGTTCACTCACCTTGAAGAGTTCATATAACATAGATATTTACTACTTAGTTGGGGGTTGGCTTGATTCTGTAATCTCGGTTAGCGTCAACATGTGGAATAGACATCATAGGTGATGTTTCGGTGGCTACTTGTGTCTTTGCATGAATGGACCTATTTATGGCTGCATCTTGGGTGGGTTGAACTTAGCCTAACCTAAGTCCATCCAAATTGTAGGACAGGCTTGGGCTAGTCTTTTTGTTACTTGATTGGGCTAGGGCAGAAAAGTTTCAACCTGATCTAAATTAAACCTTTATGATACATTGACAGAGGATGGGTTTCATGCATTGTGACAATATAGAGTTCAATCAGCAAATAATCTTTAGCCCTAACAACCAACGCTAGCACTATAACTTTCATTTGGAACCTCAAGGTGTTTTACTTTAAGTTCTAACTCTTCTGCTGATCCAGCATTCTCACCTATGCATCTTGCTCTCTCTACCATCTTGCATCATGCTTGTTACCTCAGTAGTAACTGATTTTACACATACTTATCAATCTCATGTCTTCTGATCTATCAGTATTTGGCACTTGTGCATCTACCAGTGTCCTTTAATCCACTTTCTTGAAATTTTTGGTCTGTCTAATGGAACTTTGAGGTTTCAGGCACAGTTCTCAACCATTTTAAGTTGTGTAGGGTTTCACAATGATTTTATTGCTTGGACTTCATGGGTTTTGAATTTTTTTTTTATAAAAAAAAAAGACAAATTTCGCATCTGCCTGCCTACTCCTATCACGTGTCGTCCAGGAGTCCCAGGATCCAACTCATCATAACTTGTCAGCTTCTGCTTCGAAGGTTGGGCTTGGGTTGGAAGCTTGAATCTTCTGGCTACTGGAAGAGGTGGTTTATGTTTGGTTGAGCATAGGTTAGCCACTAACCTTGTCCACCCAACCTGCTCTATTGTCGTCCCATGTGTTATATGCATTACACCTAAAATGCATCTGTATATCTTATTATTCGTTCTCCCAGCTCATTACATTTCAGATCCAATGAATCAACTATGACTTGTGAAATGCAGAAAAGCTATTGCTCATTTGTCCTTAAGTTTTGGGTAATATAACATTATTCTGTATCAGCCAGAGTTGCGTCCTTAATTTGCATGCATGTGTGTGAATATTCTTAGTAGCATTTATTTGTGGCTTTGTTTCATTACCCGGCATGTTTAAAAGCCTGAATTGGATCACTAGTAAATATCATAGGAAATATCATGATGGTGCATACGATTACGGGGGTGAGCAGATGATCAATGTGGTCGGGTCAATGCATTGGGGATACCAGATTGTCTGCTTTCTCATTTTGAGATTAAATGGTTTTACCTTAATGATCAACATTAATTCTTTGGATTACTTTTTTATATCTAGGTACCTGCACGAAGTTTGTTCTCCATCCTGCATTCACAAAAACATCAAGACTTCCAATATATTGCTCGACACCGAACTCAATCCTTGTCTCTCTGAATGTGGCTTGGAGATCTTTCATCAGGTACTTTTATTTAAATAGATAATAATATCTCAAAATTAGTAGCAGTTGCTATGGTTTCAAATGGAGTACAAAGAACCACATAAATCCAGTTTAGGTCTGTATGATGTGGACAGTAGTTGATAATCCTCTCCTGGATTTAAGGCTTGTACAGACTTTTGTTTTCTAAGTTTCATATCTCTTTCCAACTTTTATGTAAGTGATGCTCCTTCCCTCGTTAACGGGGACCACGCTGGGTGTTTAAAGTATTTGATGATAGAAATTATAATTTTCCTTCCGTGTTCTAGGTTAAATAATTTCTGATTTAAATCAATAGAGCCAAATGGACAGCAGTGAATGAATGAAGCGACCTAGCATTTGCCAAGTGTCGCGTGATTGTGGAATGCATGGCAAGTAGAAGGAAAATTTTATTGGACATATGTAGTGCCACTTATGCTTCAAGTAATAGAATGTTGGGGAAATGAGAAACATGTTGAAGAAAAGAATGTTGCAGCAGCAACCAGTTGATTCATTTGTATTGTTGCTGGGCACTTCACAAAGAGATTAGGGGTTCAAACGTTGTGGACTATCTTTGTTGGATGGCGTCCAACCAGTACATGAGCAGGATGGAATAATGTTTCATGTAAGGTGTTGAATGTGTAATCAGTAAAGAATTAACTAATGGGTCAGCTACTATGATGACGATATGATGGATGGGTGACAACATAAGTTAGAATATGAAATTGCATTCATGAGAAGTTTAGAGGTGGTACTAACTGAAGCTAAAATGCAGGAGTGTTGTCTAAGTTGTTCTGGTCTTGATCTTTAGAAAAGCAACAAGTGCATTGACATGGCAGAGCCACACACCACATTGTCCCAATTCTCCTACCCATTTTAGAAACCTCTCTGATTGACGAGTGTATACCTTGCCAATCTAGGCATCACCCGATTAACTTCAAAGAGGGTAAGAAACGTGGCCCCCAATATTCTAACCACTGGACAATGAATCAGCAAATAGCTAACCAATTTCACTCCCTCTACATATGTAATGCAAATTACTGTAATCTGCCCTTCAACAAGCTGTTGATAGTCAAAATTTTTCCCAAAACGGCAGTCCACTCTAGAAATGCAATCTTGAACGGAGCTTAGTACACCCAGTAGCCCTCATGGACATCCAAGATAGTTCTCTCCTTAAGCTCCCTTTTCAAGGATCTCTCAAGATTTTTCCTGTAGATTCCCCTTACCTCATGGTCTCCTGCATGAGGTGGCAACCTTCGGGAAACATGTTAATCTGAAGTTAAAGGCAAGAAATGGCAATAATGCAGGAAGATGATATCTTGAAGAGTGTGCTATTGTGTGTATAACATAATATACATTGTGATTTTTTCTACTTCCATGATAATGGCGTTATGTGTCATTGTGGTCCATTACATTTCTTTATTAGTCTTCTTTATGATGAGTTTTGGCACTAAATCTGTTCTAGATCTTCACTGTGCGATTGTCTTCTCGGACTGTGTATTTGTTCATCTTTCATGTATTGTTTTATCAATTTTGGAAAGGAGAAACTATATTTCTCATTATCCTAGTTGACTTTTTTGTCAGAGCGCAAGCCAAAACCTGGGAAATGGGTACAATGCTCCAGAATGCACAGAACCTTCAGCGTTTACACTGAAGAGCGATGTTTACAGTTTTGGCGTGGTCATGTTGGAGTTGTTGACAGGTCGAATGCCTTTTGACAGGTGTGTAACATTTGGAGGTTCAATTTTACTTTTACAATGCTGGTCTACATGAACCCCATATTTTAAATGGTTCAGTTAAGCACCCCCCTCCTTTTCTTTTTTTTTTTTGTTTAGTTCAAAGCCAAGATTAGAACAATCTCTAGTCCGGTGGGCCACCCCTCAGCTCCATGACATTGATGCATTGGAAAAAATGGTGGATCCTGCATTGCGTGGACTGTATGCTTCTAAGTCAGTTTCTCGATTTGCTGATGTCATTGCTCTCTGTGTTCAGGTGAGAGCCTCCGCCCTTTTTCCCCCCTGAAATTTAGGAAGAAAGAAATGCTCACACACTTAACATGATTCTGATGGTGTCAATTTTATTTTATTTATTTTATTTTTTTTGTTGCATGCCAACATACCAACAGATGCATGTAGTCTCTAATCTGTTTTGAAGTTGGTTTACTTGGATATTGTGTTTTGTTGATGTATAAGCATTTTCTATCCTGTCCATGTAGATTCCAGAAGATGCAGGCATATATGATCTCTACTCACCAACTTCTAGTTTACATCTTATTTTTATCTAGTTGTCACTTGTCACAACATTTTATCTGTAGATTGAGTATTGGAAAGAATCTCCATCTTCATTATCTTTGGTATCTTTTTGTAGATATCTAACCTTTTCCTTGATGTCTTTGTTTTAGCCGGAGCCGGAATTCCGGCCACCCATGTCTGAGGTGGTGCAGGCATTAGTCCGGTTGGTTCAGCGATCAAGTTTGAGATTAGATTCCAGTGCTTCTCGTCGGGCGGATGATTATGACTAATAATCAGGTTACTGCTAACTCAGCTTGTGGAAAATGAGATTTCCAGGTTTACCTCCTGTCATGCCATTAAGTGTCTAAAAAGGATTACAATATTTGGCTTATAAAGAAAGGCTCTTTCAATCAACAATACAAAAGGGGATTCTGTGGGGACAAACAACAGTATGTGTCTGAAGCCAACTGGTGGTTCTATGTGTAAAAGTTTGATATCAGTTGCTGTTTTTGGGATTTTAGGTTGTTCATGTTGTGCCCATGACAGATTTTTGTGATAAAACTCTGGATATTATCATTATACTGAATTTAATTTTTAAGGGATGTTTTTTTATGATTAATTGAATATGTTCTTGTCTTTACATTGGGAAAAAAAAAACCTACACCTATTTTATATCAAGTTATTTTTGTTTATATAGCAATGTCAAGTCCCAAAAGGATGAAGGAAGGACTAATTTTGGGACAGGAATGAAATGAATCAATAAATGGAATGAGAATAAAATGATCATTCTTCTTGTATTGTTTGGTTGCAGATATGGAATGATCATTTCCATTCCAGTCTTGAATGAGTTTTGAATTGAGTTTTCCAAAATAACTTTGTTGATGATAAATAAATTAAAACAAAACAACATTGTCCAGAAATCATAAATTTGCATTCCTTACTGAGATAAAGTTCATAAATTTGCATTTACAAAACCATGCATACTACAACATCAATTTCATTGAACATAAGTACTTGTTGGAGCAGCATTTATAACAAACTTCGTTAATCCTTTTTTATTTTATTTTATTTTTTATTCTATATATATATATATATATATATATATATATATATATATCCAGATCTATAACATATCGGGAAGTATCAAGCATGAAAAGATTTAGTGCAATACTCATGAAATGATTGTCTTAATTCTTCTCTCTCCCTCAGCTTTTGATCACTCATTTATATTGAAACTTGGTAATTTCTTTCATTATTTATTTAGTCTAATTTTTGACTCTTTAATTGAAACATCTTCAGTCGCTTGACTAAAAGATTTCAGTGCTTACTTTTATCTTGAGCCAATATAACTTTGAAGAATTTTTCACCACTTCAGATAACAATCCTTTATCACGTTTGGGTTGCACTTCTTTTAGTTTGGTCCCGACTTCCACTTCAGATAACAATTCTTATCATCAGGGACGGAGTCAGAAATTTATTTCAGGATACAAATTATAGTATTGTATATCATAATATATATTTATAATATATAGTACATATATATTGGTCAATGTTTATGAATATATATATATATATATATAGAAAGAGAGGGAAAAAATCCTCCCAGGGAAGGGATGGGGATGTGCCCCCGTCCTTAACTCCCTCCGTCTTTTTGGGATAGGCTTCTTTTTATTTGGTCCTAACTTAGATGTTGGAAAATATTTTAGGCAAAATAGCAAAAAATTTCCCTAAACTATTCCATCGTTGCATAATGCCCCTTGAACTATTTTTAGGAGCAACTCAGCCCTCTCAACTATAGGAATGCTGCATATTGCCCCCTTGATAACACTTTTCGGCCACCAGAAGCTAATTTTTGACCAACAGAATGACACAATTACTAATTTACTTCTTACTTATTAATTTATTATAAAAATATAAAATTTATGGATGTAAAATACCAATAATGCCCTCATTTTTATTTTATTTTTTTCTTGAATCTTCCCCGCCGCGGAAAGCCCCGACGAGTCCAGAAGCAATCCAAGATTTTGGATACAATCTTATAGGGAGGAATTTTCTAAGATTTTGGATACAATATTATAGGGAGGAATTTTCTAAGTTAATGTATCATCATATAGGGAGGAATTTTCTCGGGAAAAGGGTGGCAATCAGCATGATAATATTAAAGGGTGGTCAGTGATCATTTTCTCTCTCTCTCTCCATCTCTTTCTCTCTCTTGATATCTTCTCTCTCTAAATCTCTCTCTCCTACACGGTATCATTATCAGTATCTGCCTCCTGCACCTAAATGTCCTCCCTCCTGGTCACCCTCTCTTTTTTTCTTTCCCTTTTTTTAATTTATTTTTTACCATTTGTATATATATATATATATAAAATGGGACAAAGGAAAACAAAAAAATAAAAGAAGAAAAAATAGGTGTTTATTTTTAAAAAATCACACTTTCATTCAAGACATATTATTAAGGCTGAAATACAACTGCATTACTAGAGTGATTTCGACAAAAATGATTTTCCGAGACAGCTACTGCAATGCTTTCTGCAGGAACTAATGGGAAATTCGTGGAGAGAACAGGGTCTCTCGACAACAATTGCCATAATATCAGCGGAAAGATGGGTTCGCCTTTTTTAGAAGACATGGAACCACCAGTTGGCTTCAGAAAAATGGTAACATGCTGAAGAAGATTGGGGTGTTACTCAAGAAGGGTCAGAAATTGATCAACCATTTATCAGGTATGATTATGTTCTTCACTGACTGTTTAATTATTTTTTAATTAAGTTATCTTCATGTAATGTTCAAACAGTTTTCTTAACAGGTATTTTGGTGGGATAGACTGTCACGATCCTAAAATGATACAAATTCTAAAAAAAATTCAACATGACCTTTATTAAGGTCATACCACAATCTGTTCAAATGCATAAAAAAAAAAATGTAATGGCCTCACTTGGCCATAAACTAATTTATCATGTCCCAACGCACAATGCAAACAATATACCAATTCCTAAAATAACTATATACATATAATTAGAGTCTCTTCCCTCCAATTTCTTCAATAAAAAAAAAATATGGAAGTGCCAGTCCACTACTTAGTCCGGTACTCCTTTACAAGGAACATAATCTAATTACATCAACTTATAGTCCATGAAATACAGCTGAAATCAAAAGTCCATAATTTACAACATTATACATATTATACTAAAATTTTACAGAATAGTCAAAATTTACATTTACAAAATATTAAAGTTGTAAAACAAAAATAGCAAAATAAAAATTTCCAATTGTGATACCCCTCGAATCCGAGACATAGGTTGATCAGGCCCAAGCCCAAACTCAAGGGAAATATAAGACAATTAATATATAAATGAACACATAATATAAAAGATTTAAGAAATAAAATAAATAAATAGCTGAAAAGAATTATAAATATAAAATCCTCAAATAATAAAGATCAAAATATTCCAACTCTCCAAAACCTCCAAGAGTATAACTTGGGAATCCATCTAGTGGACCCCTAAACAAAATCCCAACTGAACATAAAGAACTGGAAAAATAAATCCGAATCTAAAACATAAAATGAAATCTTACGTCGTCGATAAGGTGAATGACCGTCTCTGCTCAGCCCGAACAAGCCCTAAGACTGGAACCGTCCGATACCTGAAAATATAATAGTGGGTCAGGCCCATGAACAAGTTCTATTCTAACTGCAATCCATACAGTGACCCGATACGCAGATACATCCTAGATATCTCACAAATCTATCTAGTCCATAACTATATATATATCCACATTAAGGGAAATTCACTGGACTATAAAGAGGGTCTCAACTTGAATAGAAGGCAACATGCAAAAACGCACCCAAAGGTGGGCATGAGTACCTAGACCTAATAGGGTACACCTCAACTTATGATAGCCAGCTACGCATCCATTGCATATATGCGCCTTAACCAACGAGCCTGAACTCAAACTCATCTCGTGGTACCATAACCATATATTTAAAATCTGTCCAAAATCAGAGTATGTCATTCAACTGTTCATTGATCTGACATACCATTTATAATCGAGTTAGTCACTCAACTTATTCAGTTGATCAGACATAACTCCAAACACTAGTTAATCCATGTAATCACTCAACTTACTTAGTTGATCTGACCTAAATATAAGTAGGATTCAATTTTTACAATCCATTCCGTTATTCCAATAGGGTAGGTCTTAGCATTTTGAGCTAAACCATCCCTACTATGCCACCGTCCCATACCGGTGCATACAAACCATAACATCCAGATAATTGACCGAATTTAATATATTAATTCAGCAATTATAATCTAACACCTAAAACCAGCTAATTGACAGAATTTAATATAATAATTTAGCAATTATAATCCAACACATAAATCCAGATAATTGACAAAATTTAGTATAATAATTCAGCAATTATAGTCCAACACCTAATTCCATGTAATTGACAGAATATATTTTAATAATTCTTCAATAAAAATTCGAGAGAAGCATAACAAAATCTAATATGTATAAGACCCTATTATGCATCCAAAACAAAATTAGAAATCCTACTCCAGTCATCTAAGTTGCTAAAATAAGTTTAAGTAACTAAATACTTTATATCCGTCATCAATGTGCAACATTACTTAAAACTTCCACACTGTGAATACCAATAGCATACAAAGATAAATTATGCACCGTGGGTTCCAATATAGCATAAAATCATGTTTAGAGTCCATGCTACAGTCTGTTAAATTGTTAACACAAGATGAAACAATTTAATCATTCATATCCGTTAACAGCGTGCACAGTTGCTTATTTTTATACTGTTCATTCTATTTGCACTACGGATCAAATTATGCAATTAAAGAGTTTAAAATCCCATGAAATTACTTTTAAAATCCTCAGTCCAGTCCTTGAAACAATCCAGAATACCAAACACGTCTAAAACAATGCCCAAAACAGTTCCGGAACGTGTCTAAACAAGGCCAAACAAGGGAGCCTGTTCTCAAAACCACAGAGCAGGCTCAATGCACCATGGAGCCGGCTCCCTAGCCCTTGGAGCCGGCTTTGTGAAGAGGGGAGCCGGCTCCCAACCTCCTGGAGCCGGCTCCCAACCTCCTGGAGCCGGCTCCCAACCTCCTGGAACCGGCTCTCTCCCCCTTTGAGAACACTGATCTCCTTTCAGCTCCGTTTTTGATCATCTGCTTCGTCTCTGGCCTCTTCTTACCATTCTGTTCTTCTTTAAAACTGATCTTAACAGTCTAATATATATCCAGTATCATCCCAGCCCTTTGTTTATGACAGTGAGAATTAATACAACAATTAAAACAGTACCAATTTGTATACTTTAAAACAGACGACAAACACCAAACTTGCAAGAACTATTTCAGATAAAATTAAACACATACAGATGATCAAGTTGACATATATTATGCATGCAAGATTCAATTAATATTCAATTACAATCCTAGAGATCATCTAGGTATGCACAAAACACAGGCCAACGGGAGAGAGAAAGAAAAGAACTTGCCTGTGCAGTTTTGGAATCGAAACCTTGTCGCCGTCTTCCTAAGCTTTCCGACAACGTCCGTTTACTGTCAACTCAACCTCCTACTGCTCAACCTTCCCTTCTCCTAGGTTCGGCCTTTAATCCACAGCCGAAACCCTCATTGCAATTGCTCTGTTTTTCTCATAATTGTTCTCTGT